AAGTTGAACTTGTCATTTTGAGAAACCACAGAACTTTTCATAAAATCTAGAAATAATTTCAGCTTTTTCCTACAGTCGGCTTGTTCTGTTGCAAATTTTCTAAGTTTGAACTCATCAATGGCAACTCAATATTGTCTATTCCTGTGAGTTACAGAGTGAGTACGACCATAAAAAAGTGGTTATCAACACAAAGTCAATGGAAAAGACTGTCAATACGAGTGTTTCTTTAAGAAAAAAATTGTTTAGAAAATTCTCAGGACCAACGTACTTGGCGCGGTTTTTTGAAACACTCATTGCGGAGAGTTGTCGCAAAACAACCCTCGTAATGAATGAACCTTCTCCATGCTTTTATATCGCGAATGCCGATAACTGCCTGGCGATCACTACCTTAATTAATTTGATTTCTATTCATGAAAATGAAAATATTTGAAACTGGAAAAGAATAAGGTTGAGGCATTAACTTAAACTATCCGGCAATTCCATCCAACACAATCACACAATTGACTATCTAAAGATTTGAACACCTAGCAAGGTGTAGTATGCTTCAAAGCAATTTCTGAGTCCCAAAATGGATCTCAAATCTCAAACAATAGACTCTCAAATAAGGATCCGCATTAAGATAAAAAATTGCGCCAATTACGTTGGTCCTGAGAATTTTCTGAACAATTTTTTTCTTAAAGAAACACTCGTATTGATACTTTTTCATTGGCTTTGTGTTGATAACCACACTTTTTATGGTCGTACTCACTCCGTAACTCACAGGAATAGACAATATTGAGTTGCCATTGATGAGTTCAAACTTAGAAAATTTGCAACAGTACAAGCCGACTGTAAGAAAAAGCTGCAATTGTTTCTAGATTTTATGAAAATTGCGTTTAAAAGATAGGAAACGGTCTGTTGAGTTACTCCAAGCTGTTTTGCAAGTTGTTTTTCCGTCTGGCAAGAGTTTTCATCCAGCAACGCTTGCAGTTCCTGGTCATCCACCCTTACAGGGGCCCCGATACGTTCACGGTCACTAACGTCGAAATCACCTTCTTTAAATGGCTTATACCAATACTCACATGTACTATTAGATACAATGTTGTCCCCAAGAACAGAACAAATCAATTGACATGCTTTCCTAACAGTTTTTCCTTGATGGAATTCATAGCGAATGCAGTGTCTAATAAATAGCTTATCGGTCTGCATGTTTTATTCACAGAATTTAAGGTTATGTTTATGACTCCCTTATGTTTTGATACTACATAACAAACCCCACCATATCATGTGTAAGCGGTAACTTTGAATTCCTTTCATGACACGGAATCGAAGTGTCCTAAAACCTACTTGTACACCTAATATTTGTGGCAATGTTGTTTCATTGAGAAAATACTTCCCTGAAGCTTTCATTTGGGGACTTGGCTCTGATTCGTTGAATATTTTAGGGGATGTCCACCAAAGAATTCTCGAAAAATCCTCTCCCTTAAGCTGGTACCCTCAGAAGAAACGATTAAAATCTTCAATTCAATTTTCCTTTTCCAAACAAAACGAACATCCACGGGGTAACATCAATCAACTACCTAGATTTCACTTTTCGAATATGTACAGACACACCTCACGATGATTCATATAGAAATCCTCCCTTAAAATTTTGATTCTTTTTAACCAAGCAAAGAGCTAACGTGATAATTTTGCTTAGTTGCCGGTAGACAACTGTAGTTTTTATTTATTGAATATATTTTCCTTCGCCATTCACGAGGAGATGACGGTTCAAACTTGAAACATTCTGGGTTCGTTCTGATGGTGGAATAAAGCAATTGGATTGAGTATTTTTCTTACTTATTCACATATTCAATCACGTATCAAAAATTGTCTGTTATGTCTGGAGAAATTATTAGCGTTGGAGGACTATCTTTCTAATTGCTTAGAAAGAAAGCTAAAATTATCAAAATTTAAATTTATTGGACGACGCAAAGTTTACACTCTTACCTTTGAATAATGAGGAAAATTGTCAAGTGGGTTTTAACTGGAATTTTCCAAATGGAAAGTGATTTTATTATTAGGGAAAGGATTCAGTTTTGAAGCTCAAGAAATTTAGAGTTGAATTTGGCTTTAATTGTGAATTTAGAATCATTAGATTTACAAAAACAAAAGTATTTAATTTACAAAAATTTAACAACTGAATTACTTCGAATTTCTCTGCCCCTGAAATGATCTGAAGGATCCAATTTTGGTTTTATATCACAATTTTTGTTACTCACAGTTCAGTCTGATTTTTACAGTTAGATGGTTTTATTTGTAGATTCCTCGGGGAATCAGCAATTTCCTCACCAGTAATTAGCCGTGCTAAACGCTATTATGGATACTTTCGCGAAGACACTTTCTTCTACTCGTTAGACTATTTCAACCAGTTTCTGACAATTAAATTTAAGAGTTTGAGTGAGACTGTCCACAACGCGTCACAATAATCGAACTCATATGTATGAAAAGTCACTGCTCTCGGTTAAAGAAATTTGATTCCCATAATTTCGACTCTGCGAATTATTGATGGAGGAAAGATTGAAAAACCGGACCGATGAAGTGAACTATTTCCATCAGAATTGTTACTGCTCCATTGCTGCTTCAAGACTGAATAATTTTTTATTTTTCTGCAATTTTTATATGGTTTTGAGAGCTCTTGACTCGTGGGGGCCTCAACGAGTCAATTTTTAATTGGTAGAAAATGTCGTATGACTTTTCCCACTTTTTAATCATCATCGGGGAAGTAGTTCACTCGGTTTTGGAGTTTTTTGGTTCATCGTTTCTCAATCATTCCTCCACATACGAATTTTTATATTGAGAAACGGGGGCATGCCGATGAAGCATTTCATCACTCTTGTTCTCAATTCTATTGTTCTTGGATTTATTGAGTTCAGGTGATGAAAATGCTTTCACAATTATTTGATTTATTATTTTACATTATGTCTATATTTTAATTTTTAGTTAATTTTAGCATAAAAATGTTGGACATTACATGTCTAATACACCGTCACGTAGCCCAATGCCATTCGGAATTGATTACTGACAACTGACCCTAATTCACCGAGAAGCATTAATAAGTAACAAAATTATGAATGTAATAATGCATCCGCTCGATTCTAGTGACGATTTTCATAGTAGAGCTCATACAGAATTTGATTGGCCTTTGGTTTTTTTACACTTTTCTTTCATTTTTCGGGCTATGGAAGTTGCCTCATGGTAGCTATTTCATGATGTTTGACGTTTATTGGACTGATTTCTTGAAAGCTTTTCGAACCCAAATTTAATAGAAATCGAAATTCGGATGGCAGATCCATGTTGACTCGGAATTTCATCATAACCTACGTTTCATTTTGTCCTGTGGTTGCTCTCTTACAGAAATATGATATATCACAATAGTAGGTTAGTCATAATGATCAAATAATCTCTACGGGTCTGTTAAGACGAAAGGAATGAAAATTCGGAAAAATAGTAAAGAGTGAAGCGACCCCTGAAATTGATATCTACTAATCGGCTCTTTTCAGTGCCACAAACAATTTTTAACGTATGAATTCGCTTCAAATTTGTCATTCCATTAACTATTCTCTATTTTATTGGAACGTGTAGAATAGATAATAGGTCATATTGCAGCATTCATTTCTGGAGATGAAGTCAAATTAACTTTAGTTCTTTCGAAATATAAAATGTTTTTGTTTATCCATATCAGTTCTACTGTTTGAAACGGTATTTCGGTGGAACAGAGAAAAAAGGCTTAAATAAGAAACTGTTGTGTATTTCCACAATATATGAGTTATGAATATAAATTGTTGGCGTTGTGACGTTGCAGTCAAATTAGTCCAATTATTTTCTCAAAACTATAATTATTTATCCAACATAATCCGGTTGCAAAGGTCTTTTGTAGACTTATATTACATACAAGATGGATTTTCCACAATAAGATGCCTTTTGGCATAGAAATATTTAATTAATACTTACTTTCTTTAGTTGTTCGGGCCAAATTATTATGATTTTATTCCAAGAAATACGATTTCTACTCAATAATTAAATGTGTTCGGGCTAAATTAATTTGTTTGGGGCCAGATAAATCAAAAGAGATATTTAAATTCACGCCAGAGAAAAACTATATTTATTCAATATTTATCATATCGTTCGGGGCTATTTTCATCTCACAATTATTCAGGTCAAGATTAACAAAGAAAAATAATGATCATCAATGAAGAAAAATAATACAAAACTTCGTGATTTCAGAGCATCCCCTGAATCATCACGCGTCCAGTCAATTCTTACAAAACTATTTTCCTTGTTTTCTCATTTCGTAAAAATATAACAGAAATCGTCTTATTCATCGTTTTTATTTTTTCAGAATGTGTTGCAGGTGGAATTTCGGAACTTTTTTTTCTCGCAAAATGGATGAAATTGAGACTATAATCACGTTACTTTTTGTCAAAATCACGTGTCAAAACTCAGTCGAACTCTTGTCAAACTCAGAAGAACAATCTATAGTTATCAGAATGATTTTTGAAAAGTCAGAAAAGCCAATTAAAAATATCATTTAACAATAAAAAATAAAACAAAAAATGTTTTCTTCAATCCTAAGATGTCTTTGATTTTTCATAATTTTTTCAGTTTTTATTCAACTTTTAAGTACGCAAGACAAGAAGAATTTGAAAAAACCAGTTTTTTCACCATTAAAATTCAGGGAATCAATATAATGATCTGAAATTTGGCACAAAATTGGTATTTTAGGTGATAACTATGTGAAAAAATTATCGCATTAAAATTCGCTGAGGACAGATTCACCATGCTTATCCAGCTGGACTGTTTTCTAACGGAGGACGTATGAAAAAAATTGAAGAAAAAAGAATGGAATAAATTTTTTTAGCATCCCGTTAGGAAAGTTACTTGATTTTAATTTTTCCGCGCAAACGGCATCATTTCCTCGATCCAGCGATTCAGTTCATATTCCAAAGCGTTCCCCACTTCACGTTGAAGCCAAGGAAAATGGTGGATTGATTCAGTGCAAGCGTAAAACTGTAGTGACTCAGTTTAATAACGACAGCAAGTACATCGCTAAAATCATCTCCCCAATCTGGCACCGAATATCTACCAATTTTGTTACTTTATCCGGGCCTTTATTGCAACTGTGATATCTCAATCAATGGAAAATTGCACAGTAGGATTCACACCAAGGAAATAATTTTCATCGTGTAACGCACATTGTGGAATATATGAGAACAACTTCGGCATGCACCTGGCGGCATCATAATACCTAGGGTGTGATACCTATATATCATCAATCTTTAATGGTAAATAAATCATTCGACTGTCCAGAAATTCCTCATGTGAGTCTTTCGAAATTCATAATCGAGCACAAAATTAAATTGGAAATTAATAATTAAGCGATTCGGGTTAAAATGACACGTGATTGGTTCATTGTTTCAATTCACCGGGGGAAAATGACAGTGACAACAGACCCTCTAACAGCTGACGATTCCTCAAGATGATATCATATTATGCAACTTCTGTTCAAAGTCTCTAAATTGAATCAATATATTCCTCTTTACTCGTTTTTTTCTTTCATTGAAGAACGAAATAGCAAATTAGGAATTTAAAATTATTTCTTAATTTCATGAATCGATATTAACATAAGTGGAACTCTAAACATTTGATTTCACTTATTTTATCTTCTCCAAACCGTAGAAAATCTAGTTGGGAGAAAACCATTAAATTTTATTCTTGCAGTAAAAAAATAAAATCTGAAAAGGCGAATGTAATAATCATTTGAGAAATTAATTGACACTTAATGAAACTTTACATGCTAAACTTCAAGTATTTCAACTCTAGCACCCAATAAATGTCTGTTTTTTAATTCGTATTTTGTTCAAGTGATCTACAATGTTCTGTGAACACGGCACTTAAGGATTTGTATAGAAAAAGAGTTGAACCTCACAAAAAATAGAATATTGAAGATTTTTAAGGAATGTGTCATGAACCAGTAATACGTATATAAAAATGGTACTTCAGTCTGCGTTACCACTATCCTTTTCAGAACTGTAGTCCGCAAATATTGTAGGCTTGTATTTTCACGAAAAAAAATCACACGATTATAGAGCCAATTTCATTCGTTAGACTGAATATTACTCCACTCCAATGCAGTTTCTTTTTTTTTCATCCAATAGTTTCTGCGTTATCATGATAAGATGATGAAAAAACCCATGTTTTTCATGCGCTGTGAAAATTAATGACCTTTGACCGAGTCCCAGGACCTCAATTTTTTTTCAAAAATTATTCCAATTTTTTACATGATAGCCCACTTATTCAAGAATGGAGTAGTTAAACAAAAATTTCACTTTTTGAACAATTGATTTTTTAAATAAAAATATCATTCGGCTATCTTCAATAAGAAATCACCAATTGGAATGGGGATAATTGCAATTTACGGACAACGGAATATTTGATGCTTTTATGTAAATATGCATAACAATAGACCTGAAAAGTTTATAACAATTGTTGAAATTTTCTGGAAAAGATATTATTACTCTAGCTGCATTCCGTTACTATTTTACGACAGTGTTCCTTCTCAGATCCGGAAAATCATTCCATAATGACCATTCCATTCTTGAACAAATGGGCTATCATGTAAAAAATTGGGAGTATTGGGATTCGGTCAAAGTTCATTAATTTTCACGCCGTATGAAAAGCATGGGTTTTTCCATCTTCTTATCATAATAGCGCAGAAACTATCCCATGAAAAAAAAATTAAACTCCGTATTGGAGAAGAATAATGTTCAATCTAACGAATGAAATCGGCTCCACAGTCGTGCTTTTTTTTTGCCAAGATACAAACCTCTAAAGTTTGAGGACTATACGATTGAAAAGTACACCGTTAGAAATTTCTCGAAGTTTCCTGGAAAATACGGTAGTAATTCCTATGAGAGCGACATTGTATCCGATTTAGGAGAAAAATGGTTATAAAATTTCTAGTTTTAGGTAGAATTCAAGGAAATTTATGACTTTTCAGTGACAGTGAGATGCAAATTTCACAACTTAATTGAATTCTCAATGGAGCATGAATGTTTAGAAACAAAATGACATGAATTTTTAATTTTTCCTTGAATTTTCCTGATTTTTTCAAATTTTCACAAAGAAATTGATTTTCAGATCATTCTAACACAAAAACAATGGAATATTTGATTTTTCAATGACAAGATTTCTTGAGAATTCAGTGGAAATTAAACATGATAACAATTTTCCGGGATTTGACATGGAAAATTCTGATGAAAATTTTTTAATTTTCAACATTTTTAACATTTGACATTCTCCCGTACTGTTTTCAAAGCTATGAGAGGGGTTTGCGGGCATTTGGTCGACTTACATTCCATTTAGAGCTTTTCCCTTCAAATCGACAGCTAGATTGGTTAGAGCAATCTCATAAACGACCTTCCTCAAATTCCCAAGGTGACTCAAGGTCTTGACGTAAGGTCAAGTTCATCAGTTATTTTTTGTTGATTTCAATTTTTTTCAATTACATATTTTGTGTCACCTGTATCGGAAACTCACTTTTCTATGAAAGTTCTATACGACCATAATCTTTTGCCAAGAGGATGTAAAAAGTTCAAAATCGTGCGTGAAACAAATTCATTTATGAAAGCAATAACACACAAATAAACGAAATGCTAGTTTGTCACTGCAGTATATTACGTTGCATTTCCTTTATAATGGCTATATGACCATTATGGCGTTATCGCTGAGGTGGTGTATGGAGGAACGTAGATTGGAATCACACAGAATACATCACAACGCACATCTTTAAATTCATTCATCTTCTAATCATGGCAGCAATATCTACATCTGATTACATTCCTCGATATATTTCTCACAGTTAGACTTTAACGCGTCAATTTAGATTTCACGCATTCTTCAAAAAGTCGCCACCTCCTCCCCCCGCCCTGGAAAAAAACAGGAAAGTAAACTTCTTCAGTACGTATTCCGAAATCAGTAGTTGTAATGGAAGTTTCTGTTTGGAGCTCAAGTGCCTTCTCGACTTGTGCTGCAAACCCCCCATAAACAAACACTCTAGTAAAATAGAATATTTTTTATGGACGAATGATTTCTTGACAGACAATGGGCTAGAGTAGACTTCTTACTGCAGTTAGTGACTTTTCAGATTTGTTCGCAATATAATATTTTGATATAAGGCCGTGAAGCGCGGTCTTACACGAACAAATATGAAATAGTTTTTTACTATGGACCATATAGTAATCGACGACCATACCCGCCACACTCAAAATTGACTGTTGAACATCGGAAAAAGGGCGAGTAGGTATAGTCGAAAGTGATAGAATAAAAGTAAAATTTAATTTGGCACAAGTAAAAATTCCGTCGAGATGAATCAAATTTTAACGTCGTTTTGGTATGGTTTTTATTTTACATTCTCTTCGTGTGGGCGAGTGTGAAGTCCGAGCCGAAGGCGAGGACGGCAAATTGTTCGAGTTTAAAAAATATCTAAAGAAAAAATCACAATGAAATTATGTGATAATAAAAAGAAAATCAAATCAATTAATCAATAATTTTAATTATTGGTTCATCAAAACTAGAAACTCAAAACTAGAAAGAAGAAAGAAACCAGGAAAAGACAGGGTTGAATTTGATCTAAAAGACACGTACGAAAATCTTCCATTGAAAAACTTGACGAATTCGCTAGGAAATTCTATTCGATTTCTACAGAACTTTCTATTAGTTTTCGGTGGATTCTATTGAAAAATTCGGCAGCATATTTACGTGTTTCGTCGAATAGAAATGGTCAATGAAAACTATTTTATTGAAAATGTAGAATAGGAACAATTCTATTTATTCTATTCTACATTCCACAAAAACACGCAGTAAAGCTGCAGCGTGATTTAATAGAATCGACCAACAATTAGTAAAATTTGCAAAATAAGTTCAATAGAAATCGATCCACCAATTTTTCAATTGATGGCTCGATTCTTCTGGAAAAATTAACGGAAAAACCTTGCGAATTTGCTAGAAAATTCTATCGAAATTCTACTGAATTTGCTATGATTTTTTGGTAGACTCTATTGATAAATTTCGCGGCACATCTGCGTGTTTTCTCCGATAGAAATGTTCAATAGAAGATATTTTATAGAATAAATCAAAAGAAATGAATTTTTCTACACAATTTATTCTATTGAGCTATTTTCTATTAAATTCTGTGACTTAGTTTTTTTGTTCGATTCTTTTAATGAACAGAAAAGAAAAAGGCATGGAGAACCTTAAAAAATAAATCAATAACTAAAACAATTAAATAAAATTCCTCCGATTTTTTCTATGAAATAGTTTCTATTAAAAATTTCCTGCTTAAAAAGAACGCGCAGTAAAGTGGTGAAATTCCTCAATAGAATGATTCAAAAACTCATAGAATTTTTAATAGAAGTTCAATAGAAATCCAATTATTTCTTAGTTATCGGCCTTTGTGGTCATTCGCTAATTTGCGGCGATGAAATCTATGTGTCCAAATGGTAAAAAATTGATCTAATCATTTGGATTAAGCCTAATATTTCGACCTCCTTTGCGGGGTCCTCGTCAAGGGCATATTGCTTCTGAATGGAAGCCTTGTGATCGGTCATTTTTACGATCTTCTAATTTTGCTTGAAAATGATGTAGAATGTCATGAAACGTGAAGATATGTTCTTAGAAAATGTGTGTATGTATGTCCGTATGTGTGTGCACATTTTTCGGAAATTTTTTATAAATCTCAACAAATAGATAAGTAAAGTTGCAGCTATAAATCTGAAATTTTGTCACATAATTGCTATCATTCGGGAGCAGCTCTGGACGCAGTTTCAGCCCAATTGGTCGGGTAGTTTTTGAGATACAGCAATTTCTCAAAAATTGTTTTTCCTTAACGTCTCGAAAACTACGTGACCTAATTGAATTTTTTTTATGTCAAAGTGTTCCTTGTGATAATATCTATCAAATCAAGTCATAATATCCCTACGAAAGTGGGGACAGTTTGATGATAATAAGCATTTTTCATTTCCATGATAAAATTGATGTGAACACGATAACTCCCGAAAAAATTGAGATAGGATATTGAAATTTGGTGAGATTCTAGCTCTTATGATATTACAGGATGAGTTCGTGAGTAGGCGAAACTGACCAAGTAGTTGAGAAGATATTCAACTTTTTGTGAAAAACTATTTTGCTCAAGATCTAAAATACTGGTCCAATTTTAATTTTTTTTTTAAAGTACTCGCCACATATCGAGATCAATCCAAATATGAGTACCCGTCCATACAAAGTTTCCGAGATATTCAAGTTCATCTATTTTTTCATCTTA